GAGAGAGAGAGAGAGAGAGAGAGAGAGAGAGAGAGAGAGAGAGATGCTTTCTTTTGCAGATACTTCGGGGCTTCCCCCAAACCCATAGAGTTGTTTAAAAACTCAATCTCTTATCCATCACATCTGTTTCCCCACGCCCACCACAGGCGTTAGTGTCAGAGGTTGACTCTTTTCATGAGAAAGTTGTGGCCCTGGAGGAAAAAGCCTCACAGCTGGAGAAATCGGGAAATGATGCGAGCAAAGCGACCCTCAGCAGGTCAACCACTACCGCCTGGCAGCGCTGGACTCGCCTCCGCGCCGTGGCCCAGGACCAGGAGAAGATACTGGAGGATGCGGTGGATGAGTGGACTGGCCTGAGCAGCAAGGTGAGGTGGCTATTATCAAGGAGCTGAAGTTCTTTTTGTCACTAACATTTACAATATATTTTGAAAAACAGAATTTTTGTCCTTTTGAAATCAACCTTATAAAAGTAAAATGCCTTGTAAAATTTCTTGCAATGACATGAAAACTAAATGACAAAACAAAATGCAGTATATAGTATCAGTGTAAGGATAGCTAAGATGACTGTACTACTAATGTCTGTGTTTCTTGAAGGTAGCTGTTAATGCTTACGATTTTTATTTTAACCAATTTTTTTATCTAGTAGTATCTGAGCAACTACAATGAAGACAGCAATGTGCAACATAGCAACCACTGTTGACTAGTGGTTTTTATACTCTTTAAAATAAATTTTAAAAAATAAAAAGGTCAAGAATAAGATGCCAAGGTTCATGGAAAGGAAGAGTCAGTGGCTTAACTGTTGATCAGTCTTACACACCTATATCTATCTGGTAATCTGAGCAACAAATCTGATGGTAACAATACGTACTGTGACAACCATTGTAAATTTCCTGTTCTGGTTTTTAAATCCTATACCACTTTTATTGTCTTATAGTGCTTTGTTTTTGTCTTTTTTCTTATTTACTTTCTCTTTAAAAAAAAAAAAATTCAAAGTAGTCTGGGTCAGGGTCAAATGATTCCAGTTAGAGAACCAAGCAATTATGTTTCAAAAGGTAGTCAAGCTGATTTAAATGCTACTTGGTCTTTTAATTGGCCTTGAAAAACTACAAAATACATATGCTCTGCCATGAAAATCAGCAAGAATTTGATTCATTTCTCCAATCCTGGATTTAATTTCTTCCATCATTTAACTAGCGTCCAGTATGTTAAGCTATATCTTCATGACTCAAAGGCACATGTTTGTGTTAACTTAAATATTGGAAATAATTTTTGTTTGTTTAGTTTTAAATTTTTTCTTAACTATACATAGTTTCTGATTGCTCCATATGATTTTGAAATAAAAGTTTTAAATCCAGAGTAAAAAGGTAGCCTTTCTTATCATGTTAAGGAGATCATTCGTATTTTATTTTCCTTAAATGCAGAGATTATATTATTGTCTTTATTTTTTAAATAATTTTATTGAGAAGTATCAATGAGATAGTTTCAAAACAAGTTAGTAGTACAGTTACAATAATGAATATATTGCATATTGTTGTCTTTGTAGTAATTATTCAGTGGTTTGATCCCC